CATATACCCAAAAGATGCACACTCATACCAAGGACATTTGCTCACTTGTGTTCATAGCAGAACCTGGAAACAACCCAGGTGCCCCTTGACTGAAGAATGGATAAAGAAAATGTGGTACATTTACACAGCAGTAGAAAACAACGACATCTTGAAATTTGCATGCAATTGGATGGAACTAAAAGAAACCGTCCTGAGTCAGGTAACTCAGACCCAGATAGACACACATGGTATTAGACGTAAAACAAAGGATAGCCAGTCTGTGGTCCACAAGAGAGACACACATGGATCCCCCTGGGAAGGGGAATTAGACAAGATCTCCTGAGAAAATTGGGAGTGGAGGAGAGAAGGGTAAGGAGGAGGGGAACATAAGGGAACAGAATGGTTGAGATGGGGGAAGGACAGAGAGGGAGAACAAGAAAAGAGATTTCTTGACTGAGAGAGCCATTATGGTGCTAACAAGAAACCTGGCACTAGGGAAATTCTCAGGAATCCACAAGGATGATACCAGCTAAGACCCTAAGCAATAGTGGAGAGGGTACCTGAACTGGCCTTCCCCTGTAATCATATTGATGACTACCTTAAATGTCATCATAGAACCCTTCATCTAGCCACTGATGGAAGCAGATGCAGACAGCCACAGCTAAGCTCTGGCCTGAGCTGGAGACCAATACAAGAGAGGGAGAAGTGATAATATGAGCAAAGGGGTCATGACTGTAATGGGGTTTCCCACAGAAACAGCTGATCTGAGCTAGCGAGAGCTCACTGACTCTGGACTGGTAGCAGGGGAACCTGTATAGGACCAAATGAGGCCCAGTATGTGGGGACAGTTGTGAGGCTTGGGCAGTCTTTGGGGCCACTGGCAGTGGGACCAGGATTTATCCTTAGTGCTTGAACTGGCATCTAGAAACGCATTCTCTTTGCAGGGATCCCTTGTTCAGCATAGATATGGTGGGAGGAGGGCCTTAGTCTTGCTTGAAGGGAAATGTCAGACTTTGTTGTCTCCCCCTAGAAAGCCTTACCCTTTCTGAGGAGTGGTGGATGGGGGGAGAATGGGGGGGGGGGGTGGGGTAAGAGCAGGGGAGGGAGTGGGACCTGGGATAGGTATGTAAAATGAGAAAAGATTGTTTTTTAGAAATAAACTTACACACATACACACACACACACATTACAAAAAACCCCCATACATATACATACACACATGCATTAATCTTGGTCAGATGCATGGAAGAATACATAATTTAAGATTACAGCTATGCATTAGTTTAGGTTGTAAAAGTAGATTGCATAGGAAATTGAAGCTAGTGAGGTTACATTATTCTCACAAAGCAGGTTAAACGAACAGGGTGAGCACACAGTAGGACATCAGGCTAAGTCTATGTGATCTTAGTGAATATTATGACCTTGGCTGTGAGCCCAGCAGAAGTTTCAGTGTCAGAATATAAAAGAAGTTTCCATAAGCATGTACTATCACATTACTGAATGGATGGCTAGCCATGACAGGGTCTCTCTAGCTGATTCCTCTGCTTGACTTGGCCATTCCTGGTAGAAAAGGTGAACTATGGGCTGGTTTGCACTCTACTTAATTACTGCCCACTGGTGACTATTTTAGGTACTGTAGTTTCATATTAATGCAAACACTAGTCACATATATATGTATCATATATATGTGTCACATATATATGTATCTGATTTGTCATTAATAGGGTAGTTATATGTAGTTTATTGGTCTGTTAGTTAATTCCTTAAGCATTTGCTATGTCATACAGTCCAACAGTTAGACAGTTAATTTATTATGGACTTGACTTATTTTAAAAATATTTTTATTCCATTTTTTTCCTGAAGAGAGGTGTGTGTATATATATATATATATACATACATATAGCCTAGCATGCACAGTATATATATATATATATATATATTCTGACCTAGAATATTAATAAACATAAATAAGCTCTTAACATAGGCAGGAACATTTCCCAGATTATGCCAGATTCTGTTTCATTTTTTTCTGAGCTCTACATAATTTTTTGAAGCTTCTGATAGCAGAAATAAAATGCTTATCAAGATGTATTTAGAAGCGGAGCTGGTATTTATGCCACGTAAGGACTAAATCTAATTACAGTTTTAAGATTAGTGTATTTTTTTAGAAATTAAAATATTCTCAACATTTCTTCCTTCAAAAATGTCTTTATCCTTAGACATTTTTAGAACATGGGGTGGGGAGTATGTTTTCACCAGCTACAGTTCAAAACAGCAACGGCAGCAACAAAAAATCATTGTCAGTTTTTGCGCCCCACAAATGATTGAATTTTCACTGTGGCCCTGGGGATTGAGCTGCGCTTTGCATACTAGAAAATGCTCTACCACTGAGCCAAACCCAGGCCCAAAGCCATTGTTTTAAACCTGATGTCTGGGGCCAGAAGCCTGGAATCATCCTGTTTGGCACTCAGGTGGATAAGTTTGTCCCTCTGTAGCTACATCTCAGCTAAGGACCACTCAGTCTTGGTTGCTGCATTGGAAATTTTAGCAAGGAGTTTCTAATAATTCATAAATATTTTTTCTAATTACTTTGTAGTTAATACAATTGAACATTTTTCAGTTGGGGAACAATTGTAAGTTATTTTCTACTTGGAGAACAATAATTTTTGACATGTCTTTAGATGAAGCAATTGAAGTTAGAGAGAGAAACCTCTTTTTGTATCTGTGTAGTTCAGATGGTGTCAGTGTCCTTAACTGGAAACAGAATTCTGTGGTTGGAACTGTAGCTCAGTGGTAGAGAGCCCTTGCCTAGCATATGTGAGGCCTGGGGTTCAATTTCCAGCACCACACAAATGAGCGAAGAGCCACTACCCTAGCAACGAAACAGCTGACGATCCAGAGCTGGAAAGGGAAGGCGTGGTTCACATTTCTTCTGCCTGTTGGAAAGAGTCACTGCTGGAGAGACGAACTGGAGGGCAAAATAAATTTTACAGTAGTTTTTAGGGTTTACAATAAACAAGGAGAGTACCCTAGGGAGGTTTGTGATAGCTGGCCTGTACCTTATCTTAAGTTATGTCTTAGTGAGTTTTAAATAACTGTGTGAGTTCTAGTCCATTTTCTATCACCAATTCCTCTGTAATATGAACAGAATAACTTTATAAATAAGATGGGTTCATTTGGGCTTAGGGTGTGAAGGTGCAAGGTCAGTGAATCACATCTGGGGTGACCTTACTGCCAGAGACCCAAGACTATTTCAAGGAGTAAGGGTGTGTGTGGGGGGTGAAGAGAGAAAGAGGGGAGAGGAGTGAGGAGAGAGAGGCAGGCAAAGAACAATTTCTGGGTTCTTTCCATCTTGTAGAACTGTTGCTATCAGGATTCAGTCACTAGGCTCTATGCTAATAACTTCATCCTGATCATCTCCCAGAGGCCCTCCTGATAAGTACCACAGTGGGATTAATTTTCCACCTTTTATTACCTCTCCTTGGAGATTAACTTCCAACACATCCGGCCTTGAGATGCATCAAGCATACCTAAAACATAGCCCTCACATACTGAAGAATTCACCTGGTGGAAGTGTGTAGCTGAGTTGTTTTTAGCTGGCTGCCATCACCATCGAGTTTAGAGCACTTTGATCACACAGAAAGAAATCTTTACCTCTCTGGTATCAACCTCCGTCTCTCTCCACATTCACTAGCCCTAGACAGCCCCACATCTATTTTATATCTCTAGTTGGCCTGTTTTACACATGCCATGTAAATAGAATTATACAATATGTGGTCTTTTGTATCTTAATTTATTTCACCTACAGGATGTTTTCAGTATAGCTTATGTCAAATGTATAGATCAAACTGGAGTCTCTTGCTTTGTTAACACTTTAATTCTTTCGCCTTTGAACCTTACAGGAGCTCATTTATATCAGCTTTTTATTTTGAAGGACACAGTTTGCAATCAAAAAGATTTGTTCCCATTTTTTTTTTCTTTTGAGACAGGGTTTCTGTGTTGCCCTGGCTATCCTGGAACTCACTCTGTAGACCAGGCTGACCTCAAACTCATAGAAATCTGCCTGCCTCTGCCTCCCAAGTGCTGGGATTAGTGGCATGCACTACCACCGCCCAGCACTGGAATTTAGTTTTAATTTAATTTTCTGGTTGATTTTTGCTCATAGATTGAGCTCTGGCCTTGCATGGTGTATGTTAGTGAGTGCCATGTTGCATGATCAAACATGTGAGAAAAGCCATGTAAGTGAAGCGGGTTTACTCAGTTTCATGGATTTCCTTCCATGGTCCTTTGACTGTTTCTGAGCTTTTGGTGTGGAGTATACCATGGTAGCAGGCGTGGATGTAGAAGCTGCTCACCTGGGAAACCGGGAATTAGAGGGAAAGAACAGAACCAGGAAAAAGCAGTAAGGATCGCCTTTCAGTGACCTCGCTGCCTACTGAGGCTCCACTCTAGAGTCTCCACCGCCTCCTGAATAGGTCATCTGCTGGGGAGGAGGCATCGGCATCCTCTCCATCAGTCATGGTTGGTAACATACCAGACTCTCTCTGTGTGTGCAGTGGTGCCATCTGCAAGTGGAAACCACTTCACTTCTTCCTTGTCTAGTCTCATCATTTTTAATTTTTGTTTTGTGCATATGTGTGTTCCTACGTGTGGGTGTGTGCATGTGAGTGCAGTTACCTGAGGAGTCGGAGGTGTCGGGTCCCCTGAGTTGTAGTGTAGACTGTTATGAGAGCTGTTGTTGAGAACTGGACTCGGGTCCTCTGGAAGAACAGTGGACCTAAGTGCTGTATCATCTCTTCAGCCCCTTTCCTAGTTGTCATTTATTTTACGATGTCATTATAGTACCCGGAACCTTCAGTACAGCAACAATACAGTATACATCCTTGATTTCTTCCTGACCTTTGGGAGAAGACATGTAATTGTCATTTTTCTTAAAACTCTTAAATTAAAACAATAGACCATACTTTTGCTCTGTGGACTAATTTCCTTCTAACTGAGACTTCTTATGTTTATGCCCACAGATATGTGCTGACTAGCAGGCCCACTTGTGCGGTATAGAGGACAAGCAGTACCTTACAAAATGGGATTTGGGAGTGACCTGAGGAACTCACAGGAAGCTGTGTTAAAGTTGCAAGACTGGGAATTACGGTTGCTGGAAACAGTGAAGAAATTTATGGCTCTGAGAATAAAAAGCGATAAGGAATATGCATATACTTTACAGAATCTTTGTAATCAAGTTGATAAAGAAAGTACTGTGCAGGTGAATTATGTCAGTAATGTATCCAAGGTAAGAGTGATTTTACTTGTTCTGTATAGCAACATAGTTGTCCTCGGAACAAATGGATCATACTATAGAACAAGTATACCCATGTCAATTTGTGTTCTAAAGTTTCTCTTAATGCTGTTTTATCTGCTTCCTCTAAATGTTACAAATACGAAGTTTGCATGTATGTGGAGATATGTGTGTGTGTAAATGCACACACCTGAGCACTGCATTTGGAGACTGGAGGAGGACACTGGCTGTCTTCTGCGGCTTTCCACCAAAGTGGAAACAAGTCCCCTGAGTTAGGGACTTGTTTAAGTTGGGGCCTAGCCTGGCGCTAGACTGTCTGGGCAGCAAAGTCCTAGGATCCACCTACTGCTGCCTTAAAACACTGGGATTGTAGGCACATGTGGTCATGTCTGGCTTTTTTATGTGGGTGTAGGGGTTTGTATCAGACTTTCAGGTTTGCATAGCCACCACATTTACTCACTGAGGGGTCTCCCCAGTTCCTGTCTCCTGTAAATGTTTATGTGCTCACTTTAATATTCTTTTAGTTTACGATATATTTTAATGTGATTATTTGATATTATTAAATATAGTTCAGTTTACTATTTTAACATTCACTTTCTCTTTGTTCCACCTTTATTTTTTAATTTATTTATCCCCTTTAATTGATTTTTTTCTCAAATTAAACTTAATTAATTTTTGTGTTTTTTGAGGCAGGGTCTCTCTACATAGCCCTGGCTGTCCTGAAACTCACTATGTAGACCAGGCTGGCCTTAAACTCACAAGAGATATACTTGGCATCTGCCTCCCAACTTCTGAGATTAAAGGAAACCATCATGCCCAACCTTAAATTTATTTTTAGTGGATGAATATTCATGTAGTACTGAGTAATGTTTTGAGACCTTTTGTACATTGTGTAATGTTTAATAATATTTAAATAGATTGAACTAGTTACTTTTCTTAAGTTGTATGATCTCTGGTAGGTAGTAGATCACATTGCAGGCAGGTCCCACTCCTTAGGGTAGGTGGGGAACATAAACTGGACTTCAGTTAAAAAAAATAAGTTGGGTGGGTGGGGAGGTGACACCTGAGATGGTCATTGAGAAGATTTGGGGGCTAAATATGATCACAGTACATGGTATGACATTCTCAAGGAATTAATAAAAATATTATTAAAAACTCTGTTTCTCCAATCATGTATTTCTTTCTGATGAAAACATTCAAAGTTCTAAGACATTTTTTCCAACTTTTTGAAGTCTGCAGTAGACAGTACTTGGGAAGCTAATACATTACATTTGATCGCTACAGTTTCTCCAATTAGGTGACAAAACATACAATCATGAGATGAAGACAAGAGGTAGTTTTAGGAAGAACAAAAAAGATAAAGGAATGGTTCATGACCCAGTGACTCTCAACCAAGACACTATGAATACACAGTAGGAAAAGGCCAGTCTCGTAAGTTACAGTTACGGGAAAACTGCATAGCCACCGTGCTGAAGAATGAAAGCAAATGTCTGTCACTCACCAGTCACAAAATTACACTCAGAGGGAATTAAAAAAACAAATGGGATTGCTCACCATGGCTCTGAATTCTCTGATGATTATGTGTAGGTCCCATGTTAATAATGAGTAAATCCTAAGTATCTTTTTCAGTCAATCTTCTTTGTGTCTCCATGTTTCTACTCAGTACATTTGTTTCTTCTAGTTTCCTTGATGGGCAGGATGTAGTCATGGTAGCTGTCTGGTTATCCTGCTGTTCTATCATGTGGGCCGCTTTGTGTTGTTTCTGTTCTCCCCTCCCTCACACAGTGCTGGGGTTCAGACCCGGGGCTTTGTGTGTGCTAGGCAAGTCTGCTGCCATTGTGCTGTCTGTAACCCCAGCCTCTGGCTTAGCTTTTCTCATTTTAGTGACACTTTCCTATATTGTTTGTCTAATAATTCTTGAATTGCTTCCAGGCATCACGGCCAGTACTTTTTATCTTGTTAGATGTGTTTGTTGTCCCTACATATTTTTGAGCTTTATTTTGGGATGCAGCTGAACCACTTGCAGACAGTGTGATCCTCTGGTTTCTTGTTTTCACATTTGTTAGGTCCAGCTGTGATTGATTTCTGATCACTTTATCTTCTCTACATAGCAAGATCATTCTTAATACAAAAGCATGTGTATTTATTATAAAAACATAAATTCTGATTTTGAGACACTATCGTGAGTTGTGACCCAGTAAGTTCTCAACTGGTTTCTTTTTTTTGGGGTGGTTGCTTTTTAGGTCTTAGTGGTTTTTTCACACATTCAAGCTGTCCAGTACTCACCTGTTATTGAGGAAGAGTCTGTGTAGGTCTCCAGAGTTTTCTCTCTGTGTCCAGCTCTCTCTTATAATGTTTTGTCTGTGTTCTTTCTCTAGGCAACCATGAGTTCTGCTAATCTGTAGGTTTTTTTTTTTGTTTTTTTTTTTGCCCCTTTGTGTTCTGAAATCACTCTTCTCAACTGGACATTACTGGGGTTTTGCTTACTTGTGACCTAGACTTTTTTTTTTTTTTAAATCAAGTCAGCCTTAGTAATGTTAGGGCTTAGATCATGATTTATAGTCTCTGAGGAATCACTTTTTTTTTAACTGCTGTCTAGTGTCCCTTGAGTGCTTATTTTATATATGTTTGTCTAGCTATCATTTTAGGTAAGTGGATAAATTAATACACATTTCTCTCCTGTCACAGAAAGTGTAACAATTTATGAGATACTTAAGGGTGTGTTATGTCTCTTTGTTCCTAAATATTTGTGCTTGTGTTTTCTAAGAATGTATCTGCTATATAATTATAATAGTTTAGTCATAATACATGTTACTGTTTAAATATCGTTAAAAATAAATTTTCTGGCTGGTGAGATGGCTCAGTGGTTAAAAGCTCTTGCTATGCAGTCTAACAATGTGACTTCCATCCTGGAAGCCCTGTGGAAAGCTGAGTGAGGTCATGTGCAGCTATAATCCACAGTGAGATGGGAGGCAGAGGCATGATAGTCACCTGGAGGCAAACAGCCTGGCCTGGAGCATGGCAGAAGCGAGGTAGAAAGGAGAGAAGCAACTCCTATTGGTTGACCTCCGACCCGCCACATAGCCCCTTCAATAACAAACATGACACCCCGACCTGGTCTGAATAGCCAGCTTTTCCCAGCAGTCCTGTTTCTAACTAGAGTTGGCTATACAGGCCAGAATCTACAGCTGCCTGGCTTTATGTGGGCTCTGGGAATCTGAATTCCAGTTGTCTTCATGTCTGTGTGATAAGTATTTATTCGTTGAGCCATCTCCCAAGTCTCCAGCTCTTGTCCACTGTTCCAGTAATGGCCTTTTCTGAAAAATGTTGCTTTTTTTAACCTTGACCCAAAATTAAGTCTGGAATCAGTCATTTCATTTAGTTTTTGTCTTTTCAGTAAACTTTAGTTTAAAACATAAACAGGAAATAAAATACTAAATGAAATATACTACAGTTTTATCATGTATTTCTCTAAAAGAGTAATTAACTACCTTTTCCATGTGTTTAATAGCTATTTTATTTTATTTTATTTTTTTATTTTTTTTTGTAGTTTTGGAGCCTGTCCTGGAATTCACTCTGGAGACCAGGCTGGCCTTGAATTCACAGAGATCTGCCTACCTCTGCCTCTCGAGTGCTGGGATTAAGGATGTGTGCCACCACCGCCTGGCCGCTATTTTATTTTTTAGAAATATATTTATTTTTATTTATGTGCATATGTATGTGTGTGTCTCGTGGATGTATGTGTATATGTGCACATTGTATGCAGGTACCCACAGAGTCCAGAAGGGGGAGGTAGGTCCTTTGGAGCTGGAGTTACAGGTGTTTGTGAGCCATTTAGTGTAGGTGCTGGCAGCCAAACTTTGGTGTTCTGCAAGAGTAGCGAAGACTTAACCACTGAGCAGTCTCTCCAGCTACTGTAACTATTTTACTTCTTTTGCTTTACTCTATACAGAAGGTCATTTTTACTTTGTGTTTTGTTGGTCATTAAAATTCCAGCTGTGTAGTATTGTTCAACTCTGTTTCTATCCATTATATGACATAGATAATCCTCAATACAATTTAGTTGAAGGGAGATATTGACTTAATCTCTTTAACACAAAGTAGATAGAAATATTAGCAGTACTCATATACTACCCTAAAATTTTTTGATGATCTAGAGTTAATAGTAGCCACATGATACAAACATCGTGTATGTAATATATTGGTTATATATAATAGTATATAATTTATATTGTAATTCTCAGGAGATAGAGTTCTTATATACCATTTGATTTGAAATGTGAATTTGTTATAACTGAAGTGATATATTAAGGCACAAGTTGAACCTCATGAGTATTTTCCTAATGTGTAGAAGTGGAGGAAGCACTAGGTTAATTTATGAATGGTACCCAGTTGAACCAAGTTGCTTAGGACACATTTCAGACAAGCACTACAGTCCTTTGCTGGCTGCCGTTGTTTGCTCTTTTATTATGAGCCAAGCTTGTCTGCATGTAGTACTGCAGCTTGCTTTTCTCATAAGATAATCTTTTCTACCACGTCCAGGAACTCATGGGAATAATCCTTCTAAAACCCACTTTCACCAGTATATTTCTAGTCTTTTCAAGAGAAAGTGCAATGTTTATTGTAGTATATTTCTTAATCCCTTAATATATGTGAATCTGTATGAAGTTGCTGTATTTTTAAATGCATTTTTGATTAATGTTTTGAATATTATCCTTGTAACACATCTGTAAACCCTGTGACTTTTAGTGTTTACTTTTGTACAATGAAGAGATTGTTAGTGACAGAAATGTTTTGTTACAACAGGACTTGTACGGTGGAATTACTCAGGGAGGTTTGACCCCATGACAGAGGTCTCAGAAGCATGCTGAATTCTGGTCATAGACTCCCCAAACTGATGTTTCCAAAAGGCTCAGTTAGTTTTGTTTATAGCCAGGCTAGAGACCATTTGGAGCAGGCAGACCAATATTTAAAGAAAATGCAGAAAGGTTTTTATGAGTGGGGCACATCTAAAGATTCCTTTGTACTTGGAGTTGAATCTTTGAAAACTCTGTTTTAGGGAAATTTAATGAGTTGCTTTCTGGCTTTTTGTATCCCCTAAGGACTCAGAGACTCCAGAATTTTCCTTACATAACAGGCAAGCTTAAATAAAAACTGTTGCTTCAGAGGATCGTTTATTTTGAGTTATTGTGTAGTGCAGAAACTATGCATTCTTCATGGAATTTTAATGTTGAATTTTTGAAAAAAATTCAACCAAGAGGAAAGCAAGCAAGTACTTGGAGGATAATATAATCTATAGCACAAAGCTGTTTCCGACAGCTATTATTTAGGTATTTTTCAAGCTTGAGTCATCTTGGTGACTGTTTCCAATGCCGTGCTGTAATTATAGGCCGAGGAGTAGCTGGTTCTTTGACTCAGTGTCTTAGAATACATACTTTTGGTATAATAACACTTACATTACTGCCTGTGTTGGAAACTGATTCCTCTCACCACAAGTCTGCTCGTTCAAAGGTGAGGGCGAGAAAGGACATGTGCTTTTCTCACAGGTGTACATTTTCTTCAAAAATTAAAAGAAAATTATGTGCATGGGTGTTCTAGCTGCTTGTATTTTTTTTGCACCATATGTATGCAGTGTTCATGGCTGCCAGAAGAGGGCGGAGCTCCCCTGAAACTGGCTTGAGATTGCGTGGACCTGAATTACTGACGGCTGTGAGCCATAATGTAGGTGCTGGGAATCAAGCCCGGGTCCTCTGGAAGAACAGCCAGTGCTCCCATCCGCTGAGCTATCTCTAGCCCCCAAAGGAGTACGTTTTCTCCTGTGTGTAGTTTTTGTTTTCAATAAGCTGGGCATGTAGTTTACTTTTTAAGTATTATATTGTCATTTCAGGATAATTGATACTGTTGACCTCTGTGGGTTTCCAAAGCACAAAACTGTCATTTTCTCATTTATATTGATTATTTTATACCGCTGGGATTGTATTTAGTACATGCAGCTAACCTCTTTTTGATAGTTGAGGAGAAGAAAAATTTTCTAAGTGGAATCATTTTTAAACTGTAATTTAAAAGTGGTACATTCATTTTTAGGTAAATCTTATTTTTACAAAATAAGAAAATAAAAAGTACATAAATACTTTAAAATCACAGTGTCCAAGTAAAAGTAGTATTATGTGAGTATTTTAACCATATTATTGCAAATTCTGAATGATGTTATAAAATTAAAAAAATCTCAGGTTAGTATTTTGTTTTTCTGGAGCACAGGAATGTGTGCTATCAGTATCTCTATCTTAACTTGGTCTGGTTCTCAGTTATCCAGTGTTGGGTTTAGATTGCTTCCGTAAGATGTTTTCTTTCTTAATTCCTCCTTTAATGGAGATTCTAAAGGGTTACCATTATTTTAGTTAGTTTAAAACAAAACTATAGTGAGAAGTCTCTTTGATTTTCACCTCTGCAGCTTTGTAGCAAAGCATGCCATGTCAAGAATGACATGAATTGACCTAGAAAGACTTCTTCACTTGGTTGTAATCATGCTACAAAGTAGCTGGTGTGTGTGTGTGCGCGCACACACACACACACACACACACCCCACATTCAGTTACAGCACTCCATATGGGGCCATGATCCACAGTGTGAGATGCTGAGAGTCGGACCACAGAGGCTGGCTTTAGAAGGAGTGAGGTTGGATAGATGTAATAGAGGCCATCAGGTTTTTGTTTTTTGTTTTTTTTTCCTCTTGTGTGCTGCACAGGACTTGAAAGAAGAAAACAGCGGTTATTTGATAGAACTTTTCTTCTTTTCTTTACTTCCCCTCCCCTTTCTTTCCTTCTTTTTTCCCTCCTGTCTTAGGGTTTCTATTGATATAAAAAGACACCATGACCGTGGTGCTGGAGAAGCTGAGAGTTCTACATCTTGATCAACAGATAACAAGAAATGAACTGAACTCGGTCTAGCTTAAGCATAGGAGACCTCAAAGCCCACCCCACAGTGACACTCTTCCTCCAGTGCCACACCTACTGCAGCAAAGACACACCTCCTAATAGTGCCACTCCCTATGTGAGGTGGGCAGTGCAGTAGGGTATTAGGAGGTGTTGAGGGCCTTGTAAGGTGGACAGTGTGCAGTGTGCAGTGTACAGTGGGGTATTAGGAGGTGTTGAGGGTCTTGTAAGGTGGGCAGTGTGCAGTGTACAGTGGGGTATTAGGAGATGTTGAGGACCGTGTGAGGTGTGCAGTGTGCAGTGAGGTATTAGGAGGTGTTGAGGACCGTGTGAGGTGTGCAGTGTGCAGTGGGGTATTGGGCAACACAGGATGCACCTCCATAGGCACGTGTGGCAACCTGACCTAGTTGTGTAGTCTTTAATACTGGCTTCAAGATGGTTCCCCCTAGGCTGCCAGCACTAATATGTAGACTCACAAAAATTTTAAGATGTTTACAGTGCTTTAGAGAATATTTTTGCTTTTGGAAGGCAGAACAAGAACATCGACTTCTTGCGCCTAGCTTATTTATTTAATTACTATTACCTTAATTTACTATACATGCCACATGCCTTTTCTCAATATGTTTTTAGGATTAAAATGCCAGATAAAAAGATAATTATGCAAGTTATTATTGCTATTTATGTTTTAAGACAGTATTTATGTTCTGTTCTATGGGTTTTAATACTTAAATATTTAATTAAGTATTCAGTTAAAAGTAACTAATTAAAAGAGATGTTAATGAATTGATTACATCAGTTTTTTGTTAGTTTTGAGTCAGGATTCCACAGTGTATTCACAGCTGGCGAACTCATTTTGTAGTTCATGTTGGCCTCAACCCTGTGATAGTTCATGTTCTTCTCCTTTCTGTACTGAGATTATAGACATGAGCTACCATGTGCACGTTGTTAAGTTTTAGATCTCAAAGGAAGTGGTACTTGAGTTTTAAACTATTCTGTGGTATCTAAAGAGCAGGTTAGCTGCCATATTTTCATATTTGGAAGGAAAAATGATGAGTTCATAGGCCATATATCCTGTTTCATGTACATTGCGGTATTCTGCATAGGCTCTCATTGACAACTGAAGCATGTGTTCTTGAAGATGTTGAATACAGATCCTAGTTCATTGTGCAGTTTTACAGAAACCTGCTGTTTATAATGTAAAGGCTGTTATAAAGTGAACATTTATAACTTTTGAACATTTAAATCATACTTAAGTGGAAGCTTCTAATTATCTTTATTATTTTTAAAGTCTTGGCTACTGATGATTCAGCAGACGGAGCAGCTTAGTAGGATAATGAAGACCCACGCCGAGGATCTGAACTCTGGGCCCTTGCACCGGCTCACCATGATGATCAAGGACAAGCAGCAGGTGAAGAAGAGCTACGTAGGCATTCACCAGCAGATAGAGGCGGAGATGATCAAGGTTGGTCCAGCTCTAGTTGGTGTTCTCATGAGTTTCGTTTAGAACTTATGTTAATATTTTGTCCCGTTTGGCCTTAAAATTGTCATTTCCTGACAAGAAATGTTTGATGTGTTTAGTAATACTTTATTGTGTACAGAATATTGCTGATTGTAAGATATCATTCCACTACCAACACAGAGAAAACATACCAACCATTATGCTCTGTCTCAGAGATCTTGTAGTAACTTGGAATATGTATTTTTTTGTTTACTGAAATAGTTTTTAGGGCTGGAGAGATGGCTCAGCGGTTAAAACATTGGTTGCCCTTCCAAGGACCCAGGTTCAATTCCCACTTAACAGCTCACAACCATCTGTAACTCCAGTCCAAGGGGATCTGACGCCCTCTTTTGGCTTGTGTGAGCATTGCAAGCACATAGTATACAGATATGGCAGCAAAACCCTCAACATACGAGAAATAAAATAAACTTTGAACAAAATAAAAAGAAATTGCTTTTAGCCTATATAAAAATTAAATATGTATGTATTTCCTTGTATTAGTAATAACTTAGTGTATTCCTTAGTTTTTTGCATTCATAGTTTGTCTCTTCTTGGTAATTTCTTACCATTTATTGAAGAGCTTTGATTGTCCAAACAGAAGAGCCGCATGGTCCCTCTAGCTGTCCCCCAGGTCACTACCCCTCTTTTGCTTTATGTAGTCTCACGCTTCCTCCCAGTATTGGTTCATTTAAAGGAAACCCCAGTATCATTTTGTCTCAACATTTTAGTGTATGTTGGTAATGAAAGGGTTCCTTTTGAAAATAAGAACATTTTCATTAATCCACTTAAGAATGACAGAAGTCAGTATTACTAAATACCCAGTGTTTAAATACTTGCGCAGTAAGTGGTTTCAATTGGTTTATTTTAGTCAGGATCTGGTCTGAGACATGAGTTGTATTTGAATAATTGCGTTTCAGTCCGCAGTTTGGTCTTCCTGTTTATTTTTGAAAAATACCATTTACTAACTAAAAGAATTAGATAATTTGCTATATGCAATTGAATTCCTTCAATTTTGAATTTTTCTTTCATTCTTTTTGTTTGTTTGTTTGAGATAGGGTCTCACTATGTAGCCTTAGCTGGTTTGGAACTCCCTCTGTAGAGCAGGCTGGCCTTGGACTCACAGAGCTCTGTCTGCATCTGCCCCCAAGTGCTGGGGTTAAAGGCATGCACTACCACACAGCTCGATTATGAAGTTTTTGATAAGCACCTTAGAAAACCCATTCTTTTATCTGCTTATTTTCCTATAAATTTGAAATTAACTAGGCCTAGAAGCTTTGTTTGGTCAAATAGATTGTTAATGTCGTGTAGATTTCCTGTTGTTTCATATCAGCGTGTTTTTCTTTTTATGATATTGAACCTTACTAATTAGTTCCGCAGTCGTTGGCGTCATCTGTCAGATTTCCCCCTTAACTCTTTTATCTAGTGGCCTTAGATACTACTGATTGATGTTCTGTGCTTAGGGCAAGTATGAGTGTGTTGTTTATAAACGTGTGTGTTGTTTATGTGTTGTGTGTGTACGTTGTGTGCATGTTGTATGTGTGCGCGTGTGCCTGGGTAGGCTAGAGATAGATATCAGGGGTCCTCAGTTATTCTCCAGGGTGATTTTTTGAGACAGGGCCTTTCAGTGAGCCCGGGCTTGCCATTTAGGCACACTAGCTAGCCTGCGTACTTCTGGAATCCTTTGTCTCTGCCCCTCCTCCCAGGGCTGGAGTTACAGGCATGTGCTCCATGCCTGGCTTTTACATGGGTACTGGGATTGGAACTCAGGTGTTTTGCTTTCATGACAAGCATTTTACTGACTAAACCATCTCTCCAACCACAAGGGCTAGTATTTTATTGGTCTTTTTACAATAGAAAGTCTTTTACATCTTTTATTTCTTAATGCAATTTAACAAACAATTTCCTGTTAAGTAAAATTTGGGGAGTGAGGTGGGCAGTGTGGTGACCTATGCTTTTAATCTCAGCACTTGGGAGGCAGGGGCAGGTGGAGCTCTGTGAGTTCGAGGCCAGCCTGGTCTACACAGGGAGTTCTAGGGCAGCAAGAACTATGTAGAAAGATCATGTCTCAAAGGAAAAAAAAAAGAAGAAGAATCTTTTTGCAACTATTTCTATACCCTAGAATACAGTATGTATAGGGAAAAGCCAAATAAATACTTTTTTCTAATCAATTTTTTAGTTTGCAAAATAATGAATCAGTTCTTGAACTGATTAAAAAATTAATTAAAAAGTTAAGCAGTATTTTTTTCTTGAAAGGATAGTGATTTGAATTCATTTATGTTTACCTCTTAGTTGTTGAATTTTTGCTTTTTATTTATGCACAAAATGCCGTCTGTGTCATCAAGATCATTGGTGGGTATAATTTCTTTTAAACATTTACTTGAAAATTGCTAGTGCTCATTTTTGCAAGTTTTTTTTTAAATGAATGTATTTTTTGAGACTTAAGTGCTTGTGTATAATACAGTCTGGTTCCACTCAACACCCCAGACTCTCCAACCTTTCCTACCTAGTCCTCCCCTCCAAGGAAGTCCACCTTCTACTCAGTTCCTTTTGATTTTGACCCACCGAGTTTGAGTTTAACTTGGGCACCAACATGGGTATGGAGAGAACGGGTTACCCCGGCTGTACCACTGAAGACAATGACTTCCTAGTCCCCAGCAGCTGTCAACTTCTAGTAGCTCCTTTGGGAGGAACTGGGCTCCAAGAGCCCTTTCCTCATCCATGACTGAACGTTGACAGGTCCAGTCCTGTGTTGGCCCCGTGCAAGTAACACTGCTGGAGTGGTGCGTGCTGTGGCCGTGCTTGTTCAGAGGACAGTTCTTGTGTCCTGCTCCCGCCCTCTGGCTCCCACATTTTCTTCTGTACTATCTTCTGAGATGTTCCTTGAACCTCAGAAAGTGTGGATGGAGACATGCCTTAGAGGGCTGAGCACTTGGCAGTCACTTCTCAGCACCTTGAATCTGTGCTTAATTACCGCCCACTGCAAAAGAAGCTTCCCCGATCAAAACTGGGGCAGCATTAGTACACAGGTGTAAATACAATTATTTTTATAAGCACTCACTCCTAGAGTCTGTGACCTTCCCAGCCACGTAGGCTTTGATCAGGTCTGTAGTATGAAGCATGAACTCTCTCCTGTAAGAGTAGAGTTGGCTATCTCCATAACAGCCATATCACTGGAGCAGCAGTGGAGATGTTTGCCTGGTGGGTCAGTGTTGTTGCATGTAAGGTCCACAGTTGCTTTACACCCTCAGTAGTGTTTCTTTCTCAGCTGCTTGCACAGCACCTTCTTATACTATGAAAGCTAGCTGACAGGGTCTGAGTGTGCAGCTCATTCCAGCTTGGTTCCCCTATGCCCCATAACCAAAGTGATATCATCTGCAGCTGTCATCTCAGGAGAATTTTGCCATTTAGGAGAAATGGAAATATCCTGTATTGTTTTGGGGGCCTCTGATACCTTCATGGCCAACCACTTGTAGAAAGGTATTCCATACCCAGTATTGGGATTTTGTTGAAAAGTCTATGGCTTCTATCCTTTATCTACCCATGCAAAGTGCTTCCATTCAATCTTTCTCTGTCTCTGTCTCTGTCTCTGTCTCTGTCTCTGTCTCTCTCTCTCTCTCTCTCTCTCTCTCTCTCTCTCTTAACTAATAAAGTAGTAGGTTTCCATATGATTCATTTATATGCCCTTTGGTTAACCCTTTCCCTGCCATGTAGTCATCTTCATTCCTCCAACCCATCCTTGTTGATAACCCTTCCTTAAACCTTGTTTAAACCTACTATTTCCTCCCTTTACTTTCATCTCTCATGTATTATATTATTCCTACCTGTTAATAACTCCTCCACATGATCTACATGTAGCTTCCCAATCTCTTCAGACATTCTAAATTAGACAAATCTAAAAAATTGAAATTATGATATCCTTGAAAAATAACACCCAACATTTGATGTACTGGGCCTGGGTTATCTCAATATAATACTTTCCCGTTCTATTCATTTTCCTGAAAATTTTATTATTAGTTTTACTTATAGTGCCATAAATTCTATTTATACGTACCACATTTTTCATGATCCATTCATTGGTTGGTAGATACTTAGTTATTTCCTAACTGTTCTTAATCAAGTAGCAATAAACCTTGATGTGCAAGTACCTGTGTAGTAGGCTATAGGGTCCTTTGGTAGTATGGCAAGGAGTGACATAGCTAGCTTGTATGATAGTTATGTTTTTAGTTTTTTGAGAAACCTCTGGACTGGCTTCCATAGTTGCTGCTCCCCTTTACATTCCTGTATTGTATATTGGGAGTTCCCACTGATTCCTTTCTTGGTATGTTTGTTGTTGGTATATAGGAAGGTTGCTGATATTTGTCTTATGTTTTATGCTTCCACTTTGCTGAAAGTTTATCAGCTCTAGTTTCTGGTGAAGTCTCCAAGGTCTCTCTTATATACATCATACACTCTTTTGCAAGTTTTTGATGCTATCCATTTCTTTAGTCTTAGGTATATTAGAAGATTTTCAGATGACTAGGAGTCATGATTGCCTTTGTCTCATATTAGAATTCATTTTGACAACAGAGTCAAGATAATTATAATTAGTAACTCAATTCTTACAAGCTTGAACTGACCCATTTGATGACTGTTGCCTGGCAAACAGTCACTGTCTCTGCAAATGGAATGCTTTCTTGTCTCAGAGATGCTAAACTATGAAGAATATAGCAGTACTAACACTTACAAACAAAAACAAATTAGAGCTGCTAACATACAATTTAAAGTTCATTTTCTTTTTTCAGTTTTTTTTTACTCACAGAAAATACATCTGGATACAGAAAATTAATTTATTGTTTTAAAGGAAATTTAGAATACATTCTCTTATTTTTCCTTTAGCTTTTTCCTGTTTTTAATAAGTCAGTTATTTTGTATAATTAAAACCATTTTGTGGCTGCTCTCCCAGAGTGCTCAGTTCAGTTACCAGCACTCACATGTCAGTTCATGACTGCCTGTAGCTCTAGTTCTAGGCCATCTGGTGCCATCTTCTGATCTCTGCAAGTACTAGGCATATGTGCGGTACACTTACGCACATACAAGCATTCACATATACATATAAAATAAATAATCTTAATAAATATGCTTTTTGTTTGCCTTTAAATTTTTACAAGAAGTAAAATTATCATTATTATTATCATTATTATTTTCAAATTATGGATAAATTATATACATGTTGAACATATTCTTCCCTTCCCTCCTTTCTCTTTCTCATATTCTTTCTCCATTTTTTTCTTTTAGACAATTCTATTTCTACTTTCATTTCTACTTTTTAAATAAGTGATTTCACATGGCTATGTAAAGTTTAAGAAGTACAAATGTGAGAAAACATGATGCTTATTATTTGGAATGTGGCTTAATTTGCTTAATATGGTTGTCTCTGGTTGACAGCCGTTTCCCTGTGTAGATAGCATGACTTCACCCTTCTTTCTGGCTATAAAGAATATCATTTTGTATATATACCACATTTCCTTACCCATTCCTTTGTTTTTGTTTATCTACTGTGGTTCTGTTTAGCTGCTATGAATTGTCTCACAGCAAACATTAATGTGCAGGTATCTTTGTGTTATGTTGAGTAGGAGTCCTTTGGGTAAATATTCAGGAATGGTATATGTGGGTCATATGGTAGATAATTTCTATTGTTTTGAGAAACCTCCATAATGTTTCCTTAGCAGTTGGAGTGGCTTAGTTTTTCAGCAGTGTATAAGGGTTTCCTGTGTCCACATCCGAAGCATCATTTGCTCTTGTTTTCTTAATGACTGCCTTTCTGACTGGGGCAAGGTAGAAACTCAGTGTATTTCTTTACCAGAAGAAACGGAGATTTGTTAGGAAACATAAAGAGTCACTCTCAGTGGTTTTGCCGCTGTGCAGGGAACAGTACCCTCCATGTAGTTTGGATTTGCATTTCTTTGGTGACTCAGCAGTTTTTGTGCTTATTGGCCATTTGTACTTCACCTTTGCTAACTGCCCATTCATTTCATTTCCTCAGGCCATTTATTGAATAGGTTGTTTGTTTTGTTTTTTTACTGTCCTTTGTATATTCTAGACGTCTTTAGTCACATGTATAGCTGCCAAAAATTAAAGTTAATTTTAAAGGCATAGATCATATTTTTGCACAATGAAAATTGATTTCTTAGCCTTTGGATTATAGATGATTTGTCAGGAACTAGTCTCGACAAAAACACCTCTTGCCAGGGTAGAGGTGTGGGGATTTAGAAATATTAGTAAAGTATATGAAGACACGTGTGAAAATAATAAAATAGAAAATATAGAATAGTACCGGGAGGGAGTTCCAGTGAGTACTGAAATCACCTGCATTTAATTTCCAGTTGCTGACCCCAAAAGGTAGGAGTAAGACCAAAAATTACATTAACATGATATAAGGAAATGAACAGATCAGTTGAAGGTTGCGGGCTACATCTATAGTTAAACATTTTGTTGCTAGAACAAGTCAAGCTCATACTCTAGACCAAAACATTCTGTAGGCAAACCACTCTCTGGGTGGAATCCAATGTTATCTCCATAAGGGAGTAGAAACTTAGTTGGATTCATAGACTTTTGCTTGAAGTAGAAATATATCTACTTTTCTATTCCTGAAATATAAGGTCTAGATATTAGCCACACCTGTTGACAATAACCTTGAGAGAGCAGAACTCTCTGTTCTAAATCTAGGTGGGACCTTTGAGGTAGAAACACAATAACCTTGAAGGAGTAAGTTCCAACTCTCTGACCTTTGGTCAGCGCGAAAATAGGCTCACGTTTTTTGGACCTCTGCAATGATTATTATGTTATTCTTTTTTCTTTTTTCTACTTTTTAAATTTTGAGATTATAATATGATTACAGCATTTCTCCTTTTCCTTTCCTTTCTCTGAACTCTCCTATATATACTTCCCAGCTCTCTTTCAGTTTCAAATTCATGGTCTCTTCATTCTTTAATTGTTATTTTGCACCCACACTCAAACCACACACACGCACGCACGCACACACACCCACTTCCAAATATAAACTAAACTGTTCTATATAATATTACTTGAGTGTATATTTTCATGGCTGACCATTGGTACATGGACCACCCCGCTCCTGGAAATGCTTTTTTTGCTTCTCCTTAATAAATCTACATTTGCACCCTTATATACTGCAGAACACTAAGACTCAAGGTTCATTGTGGAAGATGGGGAGGGAAGATTGTAGTATCAGGGAGGTTGCTGCCAGTCTCCTAGTGGTGTGGTATTCTTGATTTGTCTTTTAAAGGAAGTTTGTGTTTGTATGTCATATTGAATTTGTCATGGATTTTAAAGCTGAGTTTTAGTTTATCGTCTGTTATTATTTTTTCCGGCAAAGACTAGTCTCCTATTGCCCATAAAATATGCATCATCTAATCTTTAGAATCTAAACTGTTGACTCATTTAAATGTAAACACTTAAAAGTTTTTCTGCATATTATTTCCTTGACAGGTCACAAAGACAGAATTGGAGAAATTAAAATCCAGCTATCGACAATTAATAAAAGAAATGAATTCTGCCAAAGAGAAATATAAAGAAGCCTTAGCCAAAGGTATGACAGCACTGGGAAGAGTGTGTACTCTGGTGGTTTCTGTTCTGCTTGGCTGATAGGTGTCATTGTAAGAGTAGAATTATCCAATTTCAAGCAATTTACATTCTAAAATCTCAAAATATATCAAAATAGACTGGTTGTCGAGCTGCTGCAAATTCCCTTTTTTGTGTTTTAAGAGCTTCAGAGCGATTCTCATTAGTTCACATTAGCTGTTATGTAGTGTTTGTAAAAGGAAACAAAGAATATGTACATCTCTCTTGCATTCGATTTACTTACTTAATTAGAGTATTAGATGAGAAATATAATGTTCTCTGTTTAGAAGTTTTTTCAAACCTTTTTGCTTATAGCATTAAAACAGAAAAATTGTTTTATGGCTTAACACTGTCATCCTAGCTCAATTTTCATGTTTATGTTTTTTACCTACCTTCCGTGTCTCTTGCTCACTGTCTTCTCCATCCCAACCCTACCAATCCTCATTCTGTTTCCTGCTCAATCTCAGGAGCTCTTTATAGAGAAAATAGATCCTTTACTTTATGTATTTCTGTTCATCCTAACTATTTTGAGATTGGCATATTGTTATTAATTTGGAGTTTTTTTTCTTGTTTCATATACATAATCATTATTCCTTTGCTATTTTAAAGAATACTTTAGGTCCTCAGAAAGCATTCTTTTGAATGCTTAGTCATCTCTCCTGCCCCCAGTGCTGTTTTCTTTTCAGTCTGTCTGCATAGTTAACTTGGGAAAGTTGACTGCTTTGTCCTTAGCCAGGCCTCTCCAGCTTGTTAACTGCCTTGTAAACATCCCTGTGAGACCCCACCCAGTGTCAGTGCCAGCTTGAATGACCGCCCCTAAATTTAGTGGTACTCCCCTTTCACATGGCTTTCCTGTCCGTTAGAGAATGGCTAGCAAGGAAAAGAAGTTCATCACTACTCTTGGATACCTGTTTTTAATGATGTGGATTGTTTTGTTTAAACACAAAAATCTATATTGTGGTGTTTTTAATAGCTTTTGTTTTTGTTAATGCTTGCCTTACAGATTCTTTTTGAGCCTGGTGAAACACTATGGTAGCAAACCAATGAGAATGTCTGAAGACAATGCTTTTAATTGCCTCCCTCCCTTCGTCCTTTCCTCTGTCTCTCCATTTTCCTTCTCTGTCCCTCCCTCCCTTCCTCCTTTCCTCTGTGCCCCAGTCCCTCCCTCTGTCTCTCTCTCCTTTTCTCCATCTTCCTCTTTTCTTCCTTTCTCTCTTTATTGTGCTGTAGATAGAACCTGGAGTAAGTGCTTTACCACTCCTTGAGCTGAGCCCCTAAACCCTGAGAAACTCACAAAAACACACATTTACTCAGTCTACATTTATGATGGAAGACTAGTTGAAACCAGGATCATGTGATTTCAGTTTCTGTAGACTTGCTAGTTTTTCTTTTTCCAGTGACGAGCAAGAGTTGATAAAACTTTATTAGTGAAAATGGAAGACTAAAGCACTTTACCCTAACTTTTAGATGGTTAGTAACCCACACGTTCTTTTCTCATTTATACTTAGAGTTATCTATTTGTTCTCAAACATTTTGAACCCACTGTTTTCCCCATATGTTCATGCTATGGAAATATACATCAATTTCACCTGTATTTTTTGTTTAGGCACTTAAGATTCTAGATGTAGCACACTTAAAAAACTAGTTAAAAAGGTGTTTTAAAATGTTATATTATGTGTATGAGTGTTTTGCCTATGTATAGGTTTGTATATCATCTGCGTGTCTGGTGACAGGATTCAGAAGAGGGCTTTGGATTCCCTGCAACGAGAGTTAGGGGTGGTTGTGAGCCACCATGTGTGTGTGTGTTCGGAGCCCAACCTGAGTTCCTTTGAGAGAGCAACAAATTGTTTTAACCCCTGAGCCATCTCTTCAACCCCTAAAAAATTGTTTTAAGAATAAATACCATTGGCTGGTGGTGGTGGCGCACGCCTTTAATCCCAGGACTCAGTAGATAGAGGCAAGTGGATCTCTGTGACTTTGAGGCCAGCCTGGTCTACAAGACCAGCCAGGACAGGCTCCACAGCGATACAGAGAAACCCTGTCTCAAAAAAACCAACTCCTCCCACAAAACAATAAATGCCATGAATGCTAATTTCACAAAATTTAAGTGTTGTCATATTGAAACAGATGGTGTTAAATAAAGTGAACTTAAATATGGTTTTGTTGGAAGTTTTATAGTTTACTTGAGGATATAATGAAGAAATGAGAAAAGATATTTAAACAAATTGCTTACTAATTATGGATTTGGCTGCAGCCTAATTGACTTGTGGCTAGAATTCCTCGAGTTTTCTATTTACCCAGCTTCAAAGTATCCGTGCTAGTGTACGCCTCCTCTTGCATGAGTGTAAGCATGAATGCTTCTGCTTTGTCTCTTGTCCGCATCAAGGGAAGGATGCAGAATTATGTCACACAAGCCCAGTAGTGTTAGTTTAGGAAGGCCAGGAGGATCTCATCACTCTGTTTTATTATAAGAGTGGGGAAACAGCCCCTCTTCCTCTCAATTACCCGTTCTCTCTGAGGGATGATAGAGTGCTCAGGATCGGCACGTCCATGTGTAGAAGGAGCAGCGGGCTGCATTCCCGCCTGGATCCTGGTTAGCTTACCCCTGAAATAATTACACAGAAACTGTATTCTTTTAAACACTGCCTGGCCCATTATATCTAGCCTCTTATTGGCTAACTCTTACATATTGATTTAACCCATTTCTAATAATCTGTATGTCCCCATGAGGTCGTGGCTTACTGGGAAAGATTCAGCATGTCTGACCTGGCAGCTGGTCCCATGGCGTCTGCCTCATTGCCTTCTTCCCAGCATTCTGTTCTGTCTACTCCACCCACCTATGTTCTGACCTATCAGGCTAAGCAGTTTCTTTATTAATTAATCAATGAAAGCAACAGAAATACAGAAGACCCACCTACATCATCTATGGCCATCCATTATCCTATGCAGACCAAGTAAGAGGGACCCATTGCTGGAACTGGAGGCAATGGCTTCAGATCTCATTCAAAAGGAAGTTTTTCTGTAATTGGGAAGTAGGTTTTCTTAAATTGCCTCTTCATGCATTATGAATAGTTCTGCAATATTTTATTGCCAATTAAAATTGATTAGATCTTTGAGTTATTTCTTTACAATACTTTAATCATGAAAACCAGTTTGGAATGAGTCCAGCTTTGAGACAGATGGTTAAATTTATGTTTAAATAATCTAAACTTTAAGAAAATAAGCGAGACTTTGTAAAGTCTCTTACTTGATTTCATCAAAGAATTCACTAAATAGACAGCCATCATTTGATTACAGCATTTATATATTAGAGTCATGTATGAGTGGTAGGTGGAAGTCTTCTAGAAAATATTCTGGAATTCTAATTTGTATCATCTAGACTCACCTGATGTCTGAAATGCATTTTGGATATGGTATTTGCTAAAAGCCACAGTGCAGTTCAAACTATGGGTGCTCTCTGAAATGTCCTTCAGAATCTTAAGGTTCGGTTGCCAGTCAGTAGGCTTTGGGAAGTTATTGGATCGCGAGGACTGTGTGCATTAATTTATTGATGGATTCCTAGTTCAGCGCCCTTTGGGAGGCAATAGGCACCGAGGAAGTTGGTCCCAGTGAAGTTGGAATGTGTACATGGGGACTGTCTCCAGCTCCTCTTCCCCCTCCTGCTCCCTCTTCATGGTGTCCTTTTTCCCCAAGGCCACAAACAATGGGACAAGCTAAGCACAGAACAAAACTGTGAGACAAAAGCATCCTTCCTGCTATGAAGTTGAATTTCATCCCAGAGGAAAGCCAGACTAACACTTCCTGATCCCCACTTTTGTTTAAAAGCCTGAAAGTGGGAGATTTTTAAAATCCTACTCATCAGTAGATGACGCATCAGCCGCTCACTCATGGCCTGAGCTTTCCACCGGGGGAAGTTTAATATGACTGGAACCTCATAAGGTGAAGGGCGCAGACACTCTTAGTAACCTATCTGCATTGCGTTAGAGCTGTGCAGAAATGCAGTGACTGCTAAAGGCTGAAATAGAAGTGCTGTGTGTTTTATTTATGTTTTCTATATAAAGTGAAAATGCAATCATTTGTTCCTGCCTTCTTTTTTTTTGTATATCTGAGTGACACACAGAAAAATAGTAAGAGAAGTTACTTCCTTCAACTCATTTTTGTCTACATTTGTGAAGCTATTTAGAAATGTTAGTTTTTGGACTTGAGTTATGAGAGAGAGAAAGAGAGAGAGAGAGAGAGAGAGAGAGAGAGAGAGAGAGAGAGAGAGCATCAGAAGCTAATATTAGACAGTATACACTAAACAGCAGATGGCAAATTGTAATATTCCTTTAATTATAAAGTTAAAAATCCATTTAGATTTACATTTAATTTTTAGAAAGCGCTTTTAAATTCATGCATTAAGAATAGTCTCTTTGAACTAGAAATATGGCTCCATACAGAAGAACTTAAGAACGTAAGTTCAGATCCCAGCATCTGCATAAGAAACTGAGTATTGCTATTGACTTATAAGCTAGCACTGGTGGGGCAGAGGCAGGAGCATGCTGCGACTTGGTGGTCAACCAGACTGCCTAAGAACAGTGAGCTCCAGGTTTAATGAGAAACCCTGTTTCAAAGGAAGAAGATGGAAAGTAATAAGGAGAATAACACGTCTTATTTTGGCCTCCACACACATACACATGGGAACAAATACACCCACAAGGGCACAACAAGTACACATGGAAACGCACACACATGCACACTTGCATACACCATCATACAAATTGTGTGTGTATACACATACACAGTAGAATTATTTATTCACTTCTTCCTGTTTGCTAGGTACTGGATTTTGAAGATTGTATAATGTAAAAGAACACAGGTAATTAGCAGGTAGCTGAAACATTAAACAGGGGCTGGAGAAATGTCTCAGCAATGACGAACATTTGCTGCTCCTATAGAGCAGCCAGGTTCCATTTCCAGCACCCATGT